TAATAATTATAATGAACAATAATGGATCATATGAATGTTCTACATAAGATTTGAATTATAGTTATTTATCAGTTGAGCAGTTATTAAATACTTAAAACCATTATTGGATATTTATACTTTTAAACATTAAGGATTATAATAATGGTGAATGTGAAAATAACTAAACTGTATTTAACACGTTGTATTTTGAGTAATATATATTAAAATGTAGAAAATTCTACTTCATAACAAATATAGAGATTAGTTCATTTATCAAACATGTTTTGAAATAGATTACTTTAACATTTAAAAACTAATTAAGGATGTATAGTTGAAAGAATCTGAGCACTTTGGTGTAGTTTATGTCTGTTTCTTGATGTGAAACAGTAGTTCATATTCATTTATATCTATTTATTAAGACGGTAGCATAAAATGCATTTGAACAAAAGAATTATAATTATAGAAATGAAATGTTCAAGTTTTTCTGAATCCTAATAGAATTATTACTTAGCATGGTATATATATATATATATATATATATATATATATATATATATATATATATATATATATATATATATATATATAATATATAATATGTCATTATCATGTGTGTAACTACAATCAAATATAGAAATAATACTAACAATAATGTAGGATAGAATTAGAAGTATAAAAGTATACCTAGTAATGCGAATACTTTAAAATAAACAACGCAAACTTTAGGACATAAATGTTAATGCCATATTGCTTCTAAAATAATGACAAGTCAATTCAGTCAACCATTATCATAAAGTACAAACTTCTCAACAGTATGAATTCACTATTACTTCAAAGACCAGACTTAGGACGGATAATTCTCGAGAAACACACATAACAATTAAAAACACTAGGTTATTATCCAGTCATACTATCCTATTTCAATAGGTCTGAAATATATATATAACTGTTTCCTCTTTATGTGCTTAAGGAGTAGTAGATGTCTAGTGCTCTAATATGAAACACGATATGAAAATCCATCACTCTGGATAATAAGCCAATATTACCAGGGTAGGTTTAAGGTGAGAACAAACTGTTTTTGAATATATAAAGGGAGTTTGAGTTTCCATGTGACTAAGGCTTCAGTAAACCTTAGTATACGCCCATTCAAACTTTTGTACAATATCACAAAAGCCGTGTTAAGGCCAAACTTATGGCCTTTTTCAACCATATGTTTGATAAAAGAGGATGATGGATGTTTACCATTTACTACCATTGAATCATTTGATTTTATTTGTTTTTGCAACCATTTAGGTACATGTTCATAAACCCTAATTTTGAGATCACGATTATTCCTTCTTATACATATGTGGCCACACATACGTTTAAATTGGTAAACACAGTGGGATGTCAATCATTCACATAGTTCTGATAATCTTTGTTTTCCTATCACACTACCCAAATTTATTAAAGGGATAGATATAAGTTGCATGTATCGAAATTGGAAGTAAGATTCTTACTGACAGGAGAACATGAAGTGAAGAGAAAAAATAAAAGCAGTCCGAGTAACAACAGCAATGAAAGAACGATAGAGTTTGTAAGAGACAATTCAAGAAAGGTGTGCAAATGCTGTATTGAATGTATTGTTTTCATATTGTACAAATGTAGTGTGTAATTTTATCTAATACACCAAATTGGTTTACACTAATCAAATCTTCGTTCATTACAACAGTAATAATAATAATAATCATATTTTGCCAAATATTTTTAAAGAGTTATACAATTAATTTAACCATCTCAATTTCTTTGCTTACTATATCATATTGATTTTGATAAGATGTAAACATTCCTTTTAAAAAGAACATATAGTCTCAACCTCAGAATAATAATATTCACTAAAAACTATTATGTGGCTTGATATCAGTTTTAAATCATAAAGCAGGATTTAAAACAACATTTTATAAGCCAAACAAAAGTTGGATAAATCAATTTTGTTAACTTACAACCATTAGGAATATGATAAGATCATTATACAAATTAGAAAATTTAGGAAAGTCAGCTTACAAGTTAATAGTAAACAATATAATGACTAAGTTTTCATTGTTATATATGAGGTCTTAATAGTTGAATTCATGAGTTGATCTAAGCTAAACCACCATTGAAAAACTGGAAACACTTCAGTAGTGGTCTATCTTAAGTCGACTCATGGATTTAATTATTAAAATTACTACACTCTCCACAAATCACCATATGAAGTCATTTTTTCCGATATTTGAATAAACTGGAAACAATTAATACTTATTATTGTTCATGTATGGTTGAAATAGCTTATATATTTCGAGTATTTTGTTTCTGTTGTAATTAGTTAAAATGATACAAGCTCTTTATCTTATTAAGTTTGTAATATGAAATTTATTTTGTCATACCCAAAATAAGATGAATATTCACAAAATATTAGCCTACTACTTGTTGTAAAGTTTATATAGATTAAAAATTGGAAAGTGTTTATTTTCCCTTGAAAAAGTTCATCAATCGTTGAACGCCTGATTTTTTTCTGTGTTTCACACGCTTGATAAGATTATCAGTGTTATATTATGTAGAAATCGTATATTAGAACAAAACAACTATTCATTTATTTCTAATATATGACCATACTACTACATTTTAAAATGTTGCAAAATTATGCTAATTCGATAATGCAATTAACTTTTGTTTTTATTTCAATGAAAACAAAAGTCAATTAAGACTAGATAAAATAAACAATTCACTGTGAAAGTATTATATAAGGACAAGCCAATTAGAAACAAAGACGCAACTTCTAAGTTTTAGGCACAAAATTTAAATATCACGTATAACAAGTTGTAGAAATATGTATGTATACTGTTCAAAACATTTAAACTGATAACGGAAAATTACTTTTTATCATCACAGAATAAAAACAATAATGTCAAACAAATCAAACGCTCAATTTTGTATCATATAATAGGTAAGTCGATATTAACTCAAATCCTAGCTCTGAATTTGTAATCCTACGACAAACCCTGACCCAGTCGCGCTATATTTTACAGATGAACTAGTTAGACGGTGTCTCTTGGATTTACATTTAAAAATTATTTATTCATATGGCCATAGAGTATTGTTGCATTATAGATGATGTAAGTTCATGATGAAAACTAGAACGCCGTCCCTATAGTGGATATACTCTTGAATAATCTTCAGTGTGTAAACATTAATATCATACTGACCAACATAAACAGTGATTATATGTTTTTTTTAAATACGTTTGTTTTAATTTGTCCTAGAGTGAATTAGATTTCGTTTAGAAAAGGTGAATTTTTCAAAATTGTAAATATTATAAAATAACCACTTATTTACGAAAACATCTTTCCATTTCGCACAACTCAATTTACTATTGAAATAAATAAAACATGATGCTAAAAAAGCATAGCTTTAATCATGATAACAGAGAACAGTGAAGTAGAAAGCTTGTACTGACCTATGCTTTATTTCAACTAACTATAATCTGATTAAGAGAACATCTGGAACAAATAATTATTTCACATAACCATTCATTTGTATAATTATCGATGATATTTTAAAAAATATAGATATGAATATGCATTTTCCTTACTAATCATTTCATATGACTTTTTACAAGTTCACATAAATAAGTCAACCAGTTATTGAATTGTTTTCATTTCCATGTTAAGTAGTTTATTGTACTAAATAAAATGTCAAGCTTTATAAAATTACATTATTTATCTGTAAATAGCAAGTGTTATCACATGTAAAATCTAAATAGTTCTAGTAGTATAGAAACGATAAAAAAATTAATAATATGTAAGTTTGTAACAATTGCTCGTAGTAAATTCAGGAAGCATTTTCATCAGTATGAGGTTGTGGAGACTGCTTGGTTTTTGATTGAGATCACAAACCAATCAATGTTAGACCGCCATTAAGAAACTAGGAGTACTGAAAGACGGTTTCATCCTAGTGTGGGACTCCTCAACAGTGTTCATCCATGATCCCACATGTGAGGTTCGAACCCAGGACTTCTGGTTTCGCGCGCAAACACATAACCTCTAGACCAGTGAGCCGCCGTCAAACAGTTTAGATATCTAACTTCAACTAAGCCACGAAATTGAGCGACCATCTTCCATTGTCTGTCTCTACTTGACACAGATTAACCTTGCTGGTCACGTCATCTCACTATATATTCACTATTAAAAACCTGGAAGCACTGGACAACCGTTTCTTCCTATTATGGAACTCGGTTCATAATCTCGATTAAAACTCAAAAATCTCCACAACATTTATTAACTAATTATTATAAATAATATATAAATAGTAAATGAAACACTACTACAGTATGTATTTTATCAGCATCAATTAAAAAACTTGAGATTTTTATCTATTTGGTTTGTATGACTTCATATAGGCTGTTACAGTGTGCAGAAAAATATTAATCTTATACAAATATTTATCAACTTATAGTGTGAGTCATAGAGATGTCTCCTTGTAACTTTTGCGAACTGACAATACAATGTTTAGCGTGATAATCAATGAGTTGATATAAACCTGTTAGAATCTGTAGAAGACAATAATTTAAAGACAAATTATCCATGAAGTTTCAAAATGTAGTTTAACGTAAATATTTCCTATATCTGAATTCGATTCAAATACAGTACAATGTCAAATGTTGATAAACAAACAAAGTGAGTTATCGAAAATTCCTAACTTCCACTGAACTAGCTCTTCTAAAAATAAAAACTATTTATAATCAAGTGTTCACAAGTAGATAGGTATTAGCAGAAAAATCTCAAGAAAAATAAAAAAATTTGTCAACTGATCATTATACCCCTCAAAATAATTTCCACTTCAATGATATCAAGTACATATGATGGTTTGAGGAAAATAAATACCAATTCATTTAGTATCTGTGTGCATAAAGCATTGCCACATCTTAAAAACCAAAGCATTCGTGATGCTACAGAGAACCAAATATTTATTTGAAATACAAGAAAATTATATATACTGCTTACTTGTTATTACCAGCTTTTCCATTCACTTCAATACAATCACCATATTGAAGAGCTGAAGGTAAAGCAAATTCAACTTTCATTTTTTTTTAATATTTGAAATTCCAATATGAATTAGTAATTGATCATACAAATTGTCTTGTAGTTTATCTTTTTCTTTCGTACTTTCTTTCTCAAACTTATTTTTATAGTTTTATTAAGTCTGTTTTAAATTTCCTGATTAAAATGAAACTGGTCTATTGAACCTTTGAATAAGAACTATTGCATAATACAACATTTTAGGTTAAATAAATTGAAATTAGCATTTATAACACTTTTGATGACAATATTAACTGTTATAGAATAATATCATAGGAAACATTTTTAACAATACATCAATGTGAGTAATGATGAAAATGATAACTATTCAATCATTGTATAATGGCATTGTTTTCATTTGAGATAATAAAACAAAAACGAGTATCGATGATGTAGATTTCTATACTGATTCATCATATTCTAGTGTGTGTCATCATTACAAAATAATAATGAACTCAAAATGATTTGTTATCCAATATGTGAATAATACGTACAATACGTACAATACAGTCGTTAGGTATTAAACTCATATCTAGTCAAATTTATGCTTTGTCCGCCTACACACAATGTGCATAGAAATATGTTAGTGTGCACATGTAAAGTGTAATTATTTTAATATTCTGCTTCATACTAGACACACAATACATACATCAATAAACAAATCCACGCAAACAACCTTGATAACAGTGTATTTCATCTATTGTCATTTGCTCCTTTTTTGTACGTGATCGATTATTAATGGAAGTAAAAATATTATTTGTGTGTTTATACACCAATAAAGTGACAGAGCATTTTTATTGGTTACTCAGATCACTCGTCACTAGGTTTTTCATATAAAAAACAATAATAATGATAATAATGTACAACTAACTTATGGTGAATGTGGACTAACAAAAACTCATTTAAGAAAGTAATCATAAATTAGTAATATCCCAATGAGTAAAAATACAAACTTTTACTCCATCGGATATCATAAAGATATTATTAATTTTGTTATTAACTTTCTACTGAATGCTCAATTTACATATAAAAAGGATACTACCTGATCTAAGGCCGGTAAACAGTTTTGTCCTATTATGGGACTCCACATCGATGTCCATTCACCAACCCACCAGGAATCGAACCTAAAACTTACAGTTTTCGCGGCGAGCGCCTAAACTTCAGATCACTGAGTCGGGATTCACTGATTGATTGAAGTTAGACATGCAAAACATTGGTTGCCGGCTCAGTGTTCTAATGATTAAGGGCTCCCTGTGAGGCTTGAAAGTATTAGGTTTGATTTCCGGTGGTATCTTGGACATGCACTGCTGATTAGTCCCATATTGGAATGAGGCAGCTATCCAGTGCTTCTTGATTTTTACCGGCCGTCTTATTAAGATTAGTCTGTTATATAAACTAGGAAAATATAAACTGTTGGATTGCAACATACTATCTAAATGCCATAATGTACTTAAGGAATACTTATAGTTTTAACTTGTCCATAAGGATGACTTAGAATGCCTGTTGTTGATTAATTAAATAAACAAAGATGAAAAACCGTTTTACTGATAAACACTTGATTACAAATCGCACATAATCTTTACAAAACCACTTTAATGAGTAGTGCTAATTATTGTCTTCAGGTCACTCAATGCAACTGATTCAGTACATTTAACCTAGAAAGTTCCACAATATTATTACTAATGATGATTCAAAGAATAAAATAATCATACATTTTCATATACGATGCTTAAATAACCTGTATTTGATTGTACTAATCAATGGATTGATAAGAAACATTCTTCATTTGTATTTATAACTAAAGAGTCCGACGAATAAGTTATGGGAAACAATCATCATACTCTTTGTTCTTAAATATTCTATGGGAAGTTTTAGTTCGTATTGTTATACTATGATCTTGTTTCTAGATGGTGTTGTGTATGCTACTTATGTCTACCGACATAAGTAGTATGTAAATCCAGTCGGAAGTGGAAAACCTGGCAGCAAAAGGCTAAGAAGACCAAGTTGAAGAAAATGAAGACGGAAATAAGAAGGAATTGTAAATAGGAAGAATCGTATAGAATGTGAAGGACAAGCATTCAATGTATGATTCTCATATTTTACCAAGATATTCTGTACAATATCTGTCCCCACCTGTTTCCACCTTCATTCCATTAGTATGTTTTGAACGGTGCTACTTTTCATTACACTGGGAAATAAAATATCATAGATTTTAAATGTAAATTTTCATAACGTGATTGTGCTTTCATTCAAGAGTGTTTTATTAGTGATTAGGTAAAAGAATGACGTTTTTCGTCTCATAAGAATGATTAGTGATAAATCTTTAAATGACAGTCTAAATTACCGAGTTTTCTATTAGCATTTCTAAAATAATAAAATGCATCATTTATATTACTTGTTGGACATAAAAGTGATTTATGAACAATTTTGACAGATACCAAAGATTTTGTCAGATAATTTTAATGGTCTAAGGCTTATCACGATTCATGAATTCTAAAATAATAACAATTTGTTGAATTGGTCAAGTACAGTTTTAAATTGATCACCTAGATCAATCATGTCAGTAATTTTTTTGAGGTATAAAATCTAAATGCTAATGACAGTTTCGGTTTCTGCATGATTCAACCTTATATTCAATTAATTAGTTAACGTTTACGGGATGAAAGTAACTTAGAAATTTGACTAAAACTATTCACTCAGGTAATCCCTTTTAGATGTGTACAAAAAATGGTAACATTCCATCATCTCTTCATCCATGTTAAAAGACTATAAATAAATTAAGAATTTCAAGTGGGAAAGATATAGGAGTCTTCCTGCTTTTAACGTCTACTTTTCAGATCTACTCTATCTTTGAAACACGAACTTTAATTTACGATTTGATAACACTAGTGCGGAGTGAAATTTATGGAAGACAGATTCTGCAGCATATCCTCAGAGACGGAAATATTAACAAAATCTTCATAAACATTCCTCTATGTTGGGCAGTAAATCGGATCACATCATAGATGAAATTTCCACTCCTCTAAAACTATTAGATTTATAAATCTGAATATTCGCTACATCATCATACACATGTATTGATCCTTAATCACACTCTTATATATAAATATGTCAATATCTGTATTAATGTTGAATTTTAAATAATTTAGGTTGTAAGCAGCTGATGAGAACCTAACGAAATAAAATGAATTCATATTATTCTGCACCAATCTTTGTTCTTGCTCTCTTTAAAAAGTTATGATTTGAGAAATTAAACTGGGACCCAACGATAATAATCCCAATGCTGCTCACGAATAAACATATGACTGTTATCAAGATAGGTTGCTCTCCAGAGGTAATGACAGTTGAAAATCACAGTTCTCTAGTTATCCATGGCACTTTAACTGAAGTAGTCTAGTGATAGAAAATAACCTAAAATGAGAATATGGCAACCGTTTAACCGTAATTACCAAAATACTTGGAATTCAAAAACCATTGTACAAGGGTAAAAGTCTCCAGATAATTAAAATAACCAATCGTGTCATTGAATAGTAATAAAGAGAATTCAGCGAAGAAAATTTTCCTTTCAATGAAACCATTTACTTAAGCTGTACATTCGTATTCATAGTGGTATGGTAAATATATGTCTATAGAAGGATAGAAAATATTGCATCATAAAGTGACTTAAGACTCCAAATACCAAATGAGGTTGTGTAGTAATCAAGGGCTTAGAGAAGAGTAGAAGGATGAAATTAATTTACGGGTCAGAATTATTTAAGATATTTGTCCGCTTGACATATATGAAGGCAAAAAAAGAAAAACATAAAGGTTATAATAATAACTGAATAATGATCATCAAAAATTGTTAAAGGATAATGATAACTGATTACGGTTTAAAATTACGGAACAATAATTTCTAAAAAACAAGACTAAAACATACTACAGAAGGGAAATAGGGCTAAAGAAGGATGAGAGATTGAACGTATCATTTTTGTTCGCCGGGATCGGGTTTGAGTTGGTGGACCGCCAACGACTAAGCAGTGCATAAGTTTTTGATTCGGCCTCCTCTCGATTCAGTCCTTCTGATTGCGTTCGTTGTTTTGAAGGAAGACTCCTTTGGAGCAACGTATCTGGAGATGATTATGTGCTGCAGTATCGAACTAGTGACTGCTTTGCATTCTCCTTTTAAAATCCACACCAGATAATGTTCCGAGATGCGTTTAGAAAGTGATCGCTTTGTGCAGGTAATGCAACTTGTCCTACAGGAACAAGTAAATTTATAGATACTAACCGATGTGGATCAATGTAGAAGTTTATCCATAACACATCCGTGAATGGTAGACCAGCTTCAGAAGACGATACGGAGCTTAGCTTAGTAAAAGGTTTTCAAGTCTGTTTATTCAAGAGTCCGACAGTCGTGTCTCCTTTAAATTCGATATTCATAAAAAAGGTGATTTTTTTAAACTGTCGGTGCTTCTTAAGGATTTCGTCTTGGTGTTAAGTTACTATCGACAAATCTATGTAGATAATCATTTCTGGTGAGCGTCTGTCAAAATTGAAGTAGTTCATCTATTGTGTCATTGGAAAATAATCATCTAATCCTTGAGGATAAGTAGTGAATTAAGTCTCTCTTTCAACTCAATGAGACCCAATTATGAAAATTCGTGTACTGACCATTCCAGGTCATTTTCCTATATATAGATCTCTATAAAGAATCACCTGAACTTTTCAACTAGACATCAAGAAAATGAAATTTCTCGTTTGCCACTGCTTCCAATGTGAATTGAATTGAGTGAAGACAAGTATTGAATCGATCCCAAAACTTCATTGTGGTCCATATCTTCACAAATAGTGAAAGTAACTTTAATATAAATGAAATCTCTCGATTATTGGTCTAAGTACCGTGTTTTCCAGATTGACCATGAAATATTGAACCACGAGGTAGCCTAGTGGTAAACCCATTACAATTCCATCGGTTTGTCTATAGAAATCATTACGAAGTCTAAATTCCACGTTGATAATACAT